TGTCGGAGGATAAGACATGTTACTTCCGAAGTATATTTATCAATTCCCTAGATTTCCGTCTTTCCGCCACCACGGCTTTTGGCTAAAAAGTTCACGTGAACAATTTCACATTTCACAGTTGGGAAAGTTACATGATCCTCCGAAATCATAGATGATCATAGAGTTCACGTGAAACTTTTCACTTTTCATGTTTCCGCCCTAGGGGAAAAGATACATGATTGACCCCCTGTAGCAGTCAATGCGCGCATGCGCATTTTGACGCATTTTTGAATTGCACGTATATACCTCCATGCCGTATATACATACAAATTGACGCAACAAAAACAATGAATAATATTATGGAATTCTCGGTACTTGTGAGTGACGAGAGGTCATAACACTATTTCTTGACAGTGAAACTGTCGAAAGTGCATCAACAGGTAAAAATTTAATTTTCGAGGTTATTTTACTAACTGCTGATAAACTGCTGATAATTAAAACAATGTTTTAATTATTTATAGCTAGCATTTTTATAGGTTATGATAACATTATTTCGTAAAAGACTTCATCCTATTTCTTATTTTTAGATATAACAAGTTATTTATACAATCATTACTCACCGAAAATGTTGTCTAAATACAGTTCTGGAATAGTTCGGTATTACTCTTTCGACATAAGGTCTGTTTTCTGTGGCTGAACTAGTGTACACTTTTGGAACTTAAAGTGAGATAGATGTATGTTTGATATTTAACGAAAGCGAGAAAGAGAGTTCTAGTGCAGCCTAGTGCAGGAACAGAAAACAGACCAATAGTCACTCAATTTTTCGGAAATCACCATTTCCCCATGCGTAGTGTCAATCATTAATACAGCATATAATAATTCTTCATTGAGACCATTTTCATTTTCACTGTCTTCATTATCGCTAGAACTACCGATATTCATAATTTTATTATTTCTCAACACGAAACTTACGCTTAACAATTTGATAATGTCGACATCCATATTTGAATATTTTCGAATCATACTGGCACATGCGTTCGCATCAAATGCATGAAACCGTTCCGTTTCTAAGCGCGCGTAAAGCGCATTGACGGAACGGAACAATATACATGTGCGCAGCGCATTGACTGCTACGTATGCGTTCGATGCGTGAAACGGAACGCACCCTTAGTCCGCGACCTATACGATAAGTGTCTTTGTTTAACCTACAGGATGAACAAAGATATCTATTGTATAGGCCGCGGACTAATGTGGGGGGGGGGACAATAGAAGTCGTAGCGGTCGTAGAGTCTAAGTCCGGATCTACAATAGGTGTTTTAAGCGTTAAGTCGTAAGAAATTGACCAATTACAGTCGAATCCGAGGGGAATAGTCGACTGTGATTCGCCCATTTCTTATGGCTTAAGGCTTAAAACCCTATTGTAGATCCGGGGCTAAGTTGTAGAAAATTAACCAATCACAATCAAATATGAGAAGAATAATCGACTCTGATTGGTTAATTTTCTACGACTTAAGATCCTACGACTGCTACGACTTCTATTGTAGACCCCGCATAAGCGTACGGTGTAAACGTAGCCATTAATGGAATGATTTTTCATTACTTCTAGCACTGGCAGTCTATATCGGAACACACCCCTAGTCGCTATGAATGGCTGCGGTGGGAACCAATCGGAACGTGGTACAGGATTCTCATACGGGACAATAGCACAGTATATACAATAGCGCAACTCTCACGATTTCACCGTGGATAAAAATGAACTGCACATGCGCGAGCGAGGTATGTAACCAATCAGGGCACTTATATTCCATCTCGCTTCTTTTCTTCATTCTCGCTGTCTGTCTGCACAGTTGAAATGTTCATATAAGGGATTTAAATAGCCATTTAATGGAAAGTGACAGTTTTGATTAATTATAACTGATTAGTTTTCTCTGTTGAATGCAGCCATTATCAATT